TGTAGCAGGAAGAAAATAGTAGTATGACTCTCCCCCCCCCCCCTCCCCCCATTTCTTGTTTGTAAAGGATTGAAGGAAGGAGCGACTAGAAGAGCTCAAGTAAAATGATGTTAACCAGTGCATTGCAGTGTTTTGTCTGATCAGATCTTATCTGTGTTTTTGTAGCTTGAGTTTCTCAGCGAAGCAGAGACAATGAAAATATTTGATCACAACAATATTGTCAAACTGCTAGGGGTATGCACTAAAGGAGAACCAGCACTGGCTATCATGGAGTTAATGATACATGGTAAGATATCTTGCAGGGATAAAAGAATAAACCCTTTTTTACATATATAAGAAAAGACCACATGTAAAATGTCCTTTAGTCGTGAGATGCTTTTGCAAGGTACCATTGAAAATTTAACAACTCAAAATCTAATGCAACTCAAACAAAGAATTTTATTGTTAAGGGGATGACACTTGCGACAATTGGTCTGAAATGGGTAATTCATTACACCAAAAACTAACTCGATCTATTGTTTGTCCAAGTGGTGAAATAATATTAAAAAAGCGCTGCATGCCACTTCCACCAGATTTTCGAATAAATGTGTTAACCACATGCATATAAATGTATTTTTTGTTATGTTCGTGCACTTAAGATAACTGTTAAAGTTTCTATGTTCTTTAATCATTTAGGTGGTGGGAATAGGGGCAACATAGTCTCTTGTTTCTCTTAACTTGTTAATGTTTACAGGTGACCTGAAGAGCTTCTTACTTGCAAGAAGACAATTTGTCAACCAGAATTGCAAAGAGGTAAGCAATCTCTCTAAATTCAATGTGACTCCTAGAGATGGCTACATGTATACACTGGAATTAAAGAACGTGTGCCCATCAATCTTATTTTCCTTACTACAGGCTGATGATGTAACCCCATCCAAGTTGACCAGCATGGCTTTAGATATAGTCACTGGATTAGCTTATCTGTCGGAATTGAAATACGTTCACAGGTGTGCAATGTTTTCTTGGTTTCTCTGGAAATACAAGACACCTTGATGTAATAGACTACTTCAACGATACGGCGGCCATCTTGGATCGCAAGGCATTATGGGGCGCCCAGGGGCAAAATAAAGCTTTGTTACAATAATGACAAAGTAATAACGTAGATTTATATTAACAGCTCACCACAAGAGAATACAACGGAATATGAGTTAAGACGGAACATCGATCAGCTTTACCTATAGAAGAAAGACAAACACATATTTTCCGTCATCCGGCTTTGTTTTGTTTTAGTGCCCCATAACAAGATGGCCGCTATATCGTCAAAATAGTCCAATGTGCAATGCCCACCCATTTCAGACCACGTGTCATCCCCAAGATATTTTCTTTGTTAACGGTGCGTACGAGGAGATACGAATATGGATACAACTCGATCAAAGAATCTTCTCAACAGAATGACACATGGTCTGAAATGGAAAAACACTGCACTTAGACGAATTAGGTCTATTACGAAGAGGTGATAGCAATGTTTGTTGTATACACCAACGTTGCTCAAACTTGTTTACTTGCTACTATCATATATCATCAATATTTATTACTAATATGGTATGCTATTTCTCTCAGGGACCTTGCATTACGTAACTGCATGGTAGGATCTGGTCACGTGGTTAAATTAGGTGACTTTGGCATGACAAGAGCCATGTTTGATTCTGATTACTACAGATTTGGACGTAAAGGTAATGCGCTCAAAGGCTGTGCTATGGTGTTAAACAGTCTTAAACACCCATTCATTAACACTTATATCTCTAACAGGTATGCTTCCGGTGCGCTGGATGGCGCCAGAATCCCTTTCAGACGGGGTTTTTACTACCAAGTCAGACGTTTGGGGCCTGGGCGTCACCATGTGGGAGCTTTGCACCATGGGTAGTTTCCCGTACCAAGGACTGTCCAATTCCGATGTTGTTTTATATGTTAAAGAAGAGAATATTATGGAAATGCCTAAAGGCTGCACGACTCAGTTGTAAGTATTGCCTTTGTTAGACCTGAAACAGATATGATATAACGTCATTCTTTCTACCTATCCCTCCACCCCAACCTGCCTGCCTGCCTGCCTGTTTTATAGAGTTCAATAGCGAACTGCGCCGAAAATTGTGCCACGTTTGTCAGCTGCCTTTACAACTGCATCTTTTTTCCGAGCCGGACTTGATTTATTTTGGTTGACTTGCTGTAATGTCAGTGCATACGCAGTAATTACGATTCTTTGTGGTCTTATTTGGACTTCATATTTTATTAGAACTGAATTGCTAAGGTCTTGCTGGAAAACAGACCCGAACCAGCGTCCTGAGCCAATCACTATCATCGAGCATTTGAGCAATCATAATGAGATGATAAAACCATGCCTAGACGCTCCCATTGCTAGTATCACTACAGACCTCGATCTCCTTGACACTGACAGTGTTAGCGAAAGACCCTCGAGCCCCCGACTCAGTACGCGGAAGATATCCCGGGCTTTGAAGCAATCCTCGTGGTCCCCGAAACCTGGGTCGTCTCAGAGGGTCATGCCTGGCGTACAAATGACGGAGGAACAGTTTCGGACGATTCTGAAGTGTGAATCAGCCCCTGGAACTCCTGTCTCGGAAAGAAAAACGCCGGAACCCTCACGAGATCGAAGGGAGCAGTTTGTATAAAAGGTGATAGAGTAGAATAGAGTTTATATCTCTGGGAAAACATAAGAAATTTGTACATACAAAAGCATTTGCGCGCGCACTTTCCCCCCCTATCTTTTCTGATAACTAACATACAGTGGTAACCGTATTTTAATTTTATCCGTAACTAAGCATTGTGATTGGTTGGAAGAAATAAAATTAATACATTGCTGTGCGCGCCGCGCCGTGCCGTGCCTGCTCAAATTTTAAGAATTTATATATATATTTTTTTCATCAAATCATTTATTATTATGTTGTCATGTATCCGCATATTATCGTAGTTTATTAGCTTATATTTATATTTTTTATGTTGGGTATAAAATCATATTATGTTTTCCTCAGTCTCATGGGATCAGACATACTGAGGTCCTTTACTTTTACTGAGCACAAAGATTTTATGAGCCAAAAACTTAATTATTTTGCCGAATATTTGGGCCTTGGGTAGATGACTCGGTGTTTCCCCGCGTTCAGTCTGTTCTCAGTGATCATAGTCAAAAATCTCCCGTCTAGACATTCACCTTGGTTCATTTGTAAAATACTAACAAACGAATATTTAATATCCACGTCTTCAGATTAGCAATACAAAGTTTTCGTGAATGCCATCACCAAAGCATTTTTCATACATGGTCTTGTTGAAATATGTGATGTCATATAACAGACAAGGGTGGTAAACATTTTTCACACCTGAGCTCGTTCTCTTGTTAAACTAGTTGACATCATATGATAAACAGGGAAAAGTGTGATCTGTTTATACATACCATGGCCTGGCAAACATTTTCTACGCATGCGCTAGTTTTTGTTAAAATTTATGACGTCATATGATTGAGTGGGACGGGATCGTCATGACGACTAAAGAATCAATATTGAAGTATTTAAATATATATATCTTAACCCTCTAGCTATTATTTTACATAAAACAACAAACAATATCTCACAAAACGTAAACATTTTAATAAACATAATTTGTCTATTGCGAATAAATCCATCCATCCTTGTATAATTTATTGTCCATCACGTGATCTGACGTTGTCATGGCAGCCTGATTTCGTTTGAATATGAAACTAGTTAACTAAAAAACTTTAACCTAGAAAAAACTGTCCTTTATTTATGCGTAACATCGCATCTAGCTCGATGTTACCGTATCGATGGTTTCCAACCATTCCCAAGAGAATTGAATAACAAACGACACGGCGGCCATGATGGAAGATATAAAAGAATTCATTGTTGACAATTCTTTTGTTACACTCCTCAAACATGGCCAAGGTGAAAACCATCAATGAAAAGACTTCCATCGTTTTCTCCATAGTGCTGTAAAGATGGTGATGTACATTTATTTTTACCTACTAAGAGTAGTGCTTACTTGTGTATGTCATACTGTAACAAAAGCACATTTTTGCTCTACAGTACTGTAACAACGTTAATGCGTATTTACTATCGTGTATAACTTTATTTGTAATCTCTATATTGCTACTGGTGTCAGTCATTATGATAACGTGTGCGCGCAATCACCATCGTGTATAACTTTACCTATAAACCATAATGCCTACTACCATATATCTTCATATACCGACAGTCTTTACTCAATAATGCTTACTACCATATATCTTCATATACCGAGAAAGTCTTCACTCAATACTGCTATAACAACGTGTGCGCGCATTTACCATCATGTATAGCTTTACCTATAAACCATAATGCTTACTACCATATATCTTCATATACCGATAGTCTTTACTCGATACTGCTATGACAACGTGTGCGCGCATTTACCATCATGTATAGCTTTACCTATAAACCATAATGCTTACTACCATATATCTTCATATGACGAGAAAGTCTTCACTCAATACTGCCATGAAAACGTATGCCCGAATTCGCACTGCTGTCAGATTTCATGCTTTTTGTTCATCTTTCTCGGACTCCAAAAGAGCCGACTTTTTCGTTGTAAAACTTTAAAACAAGTTTAAACTGACAAAATAGAAACTATCATAATCATTGTTCTAGTCTCTGCTCGATATAATATACATTTCTTAAAACGTTCCTCAGAAATAATGAATATAAAATGACATGATAGAGTTTCATTCAGCATGTTTATATCATGGTCGAAGTAGTGTCGCCGCCACCACAGGGTGACCACCATGTCGCGTCGTGTAGTTACTGAAGAAATCATTACAAAGCTACACTAGTTCAAGGTTTGCTATAGCATGTTTACTCTCGTGGTAAGTCGGATGCAGTTCAGTTCTACTAATAACGTTCAGTGCACTCGCAGTGCTTCCAGGCTGCTGCTCGAGTATCGTAGTAAACTTTAAACGAGCCTTTGGACTGCTGAACTCCGGTTCTGAATCACTATCCGACATGTCAGTACAGGGCGTGGTGCATACCACGTGGAATGTATTCCCCTGCATTAATTCCCGGTACGCTGGATGACGTAATGCACCGGAAGTATTCCTTCCCTGCTGGGAGGTCTCGGAAGACTTCACTTGATCTTTTCCATTCCGCGAGCTTGATTCTCTGTAACTCGATGAAAAGATCTTAACATCATAAACACCGGCATCTTTCTCGGCGGTATTCTCTTTTTTCGTCGCAGCAGGGGTGCTATTAGCACGCGAACGCTCCAAGGTGCGCATATAGTACATAAACTCTCGAGGGCTTCTGGGAACGCCCAGAGTATCAAAGGTCTTCCATTCAGGTCCATTAAGAGTGCTGACGGCATAACCTTCTGCTAGACTCTCTTTGTCAGTATTAAGGGATTTCAAGGGGTTTTCAATCATTCCCATGAGATTAGACCTGCTGCATCCAGTACCCTCCATACAGACTAGTGGTGGGAGGTCAATGGTTGAGTGGTGATGATGGCCTGATTTGCACAGACGTCGTTTATTACGTGGGCTCTTTGAAATGCTCTTGCCTTTATTTCCTGAAGGAAAGAATATTTCCTTAGTTATTTAAATTACGCTATAGCGTTTCCTAACTTAAGAGGTACTGAGGTATTTCCTAACCTGACAGTGAGACTGTTCACTATGCTATGCCCCCCTTTTTTCCACGTGGGCTAGATACAGAGGGTTGGACCCCTTTAGCTTGAATAAACAACTCAAGCCAACAATCTTTATTCTCATTTTCAAGAAAATACCACGTGGTCGGAAATAGGAAAACATTGTTTCAAGGTGAATGAGGTCCGTTACGTATTAGCCATTCAGAGGTTGAGGAAAAAAACTGGGTTGATATTTGGCTTTGCAGTGCATTTTAGTACAGTTTTAGTCGAAAAAGACGCCCAGCCATTTGAAACATTTCTCCTAAAACATCCCCAAAATGCGCTGTAATGCCAACTCGAACCAGGTTTTTCTTCAACCTCTGAATGGTTAATACTTTGCGCGTTGTATTAATTCTACAGAGCTAACACTTCGTGCATACTATCTGGTTAGATCCAAGGGTTTAGTGGTTTGAACGCAACCCAGGTTACCGCACTAGAATGCTGGTCATTAACTGAGCTACGCTTACTGGTATTTTAAATATGCAGGTAACAGAAATAGAACAACCCAAGAAACCCTGAGTAGTCTCAGAAATTCCGGTCATACAGTACAGACTTAGAATACAAATGAAAATGTTAAAATACCTTGAAATATTTTTGTGATATTTAATATTATATGAGGCTCCCAAAAAAACGTTATTCTATCTTCTTTGTTGATAACGTTTTGACATTTGATTTTTGCGTCCATATTTAAACACAATATTAGAATATTTATTTTAAAAATCGACGAATATATATTCGAAATATGCACAACAATGAAAAACGAATCGTGGCCCGAGCCTGCGCACGTGACGCAGCAATAACCGAGGTTTAGACTTGGGCAACGACAAATAACGCAACGTGTAAAGCTGACATGATCTTAGTTTTGAATAATTCGTTCTCGATTCTTTCATTTTCATGACAGCTGCAATTTAAACGGAAGCCACAAGCTGCAGTGTGGCATCACAATCTTAGATTGGGCATGATCTTAGTTTTGAATAATTCGTTCTGGATTCTTTCCTTTTCATGACAGCTGCAATTTAAACGGAAGCCACAAGCTGCAGTGGCATCACAGTTTTAGATGACAATATTTTATCTTAACCCTACCTCCCCCCCCCCCCCCCAAAAAATCTCATAATTATCAATCAACTGCGCAGGTTTTTGTTTTTCTCAGGGCATGTTGGCCTCCTTCAAGTTAAGTACGGTGAGAGCCTAATAACCTGCGAGTAATGCAATTGTTTTTCATGGTATAAGCACTGAATCACTAAACGATGGCAGCTGCATGCATGAACTACTAGACTAGTCGTTCCTATTTTCCATGGTCTGGAATGCTTGTACATGCGATCCAGCGTCGTTATCTTTGATTAATTTGACCGAAGGAGGATTGTTAACGAGTCTAATAAATTGAGCTCGGGGGAAGGG